AACCCTGCACAAAAATAAAAAGGATTATAAAGGAATGCTACAAACAATTCATGCCAATAAATTAGATAATCTAGATTAAATAGGCAAATGAGTAGAAAGATACAATATACCAAAACTGATTTAAGGAGAAATATATTCTGAATGGACTTATAGCAAGTAAGTAGATTAAATTAACAAACTCACAAAGAAAAGCTAAGAACCAGATATCTCCACTGGTTAATGCTAACAAATGTTTAGAGAATTAATACCAATTTTTCAAAACTCTTCTAGAAAATAGAGGAGAACACTTTCCCAACTCATCCTAGGAGACCAGTGTTACTCTGATACCCAAAGCAAAGCTATCATCAGAAAAGAAAACTACAGAGGAATGACCCTAATGAGTGTAGATGAAAAATGTTCAACAAAATACTAACAAACTAACTCTAGCAACATATAAAAAGTATCAGGCACTATGACCAAATGCGATTTATTACAGGAATTCAGGGTTGGTTTAACACATGGAAATCAATGATACATAATATTAATAGAACAGAAAACAAAAGCTGCATGATTATCTCAATAGACAGAAAGAAAACATTTAACAATTCAACAGACTTGCTTGATTAAAAACTCAAAAAACTCAAAATTGAAGGGATTTTCCTGAACCTGTTTAGGGCCATCTATGAAAACCTTACAGCTAGACTCATTCTTTGTGGTGAAAGAATAGAGATTTTCTCCCTGCAATTAGTAACAATAGTGCATAGTGTATTATCCACTTTAAAATTCCATTAAAAAAATTCCAAGAAAAGTGTGAGATGTCAGGAACTTTCATTCATTGCTGGTGGGAATGCAAATGGTACAGTTGCTTTGAAAGACAGTTTGGAAATTTTTTACACAACTAAACATATTCTTCCCGTATGATACAGCAATCATGTTCCTTGTCCACATGAGTTAAAACCTTACGTCAACACAAAAACCTGCACATGAATGTTTACTGCAGCTTTATTCACAATTGCTAAAACTTGGAAGCAATCAAAATGTTCATTAGTAGGTGAGCATATAAATAAATGATGGTATCTTCATTTGTATAGTGGTTGAGTACAAATTTAAAAATAGGCGGGGCACAGTGGCTCATACCCATAATTCCAGCACTCTGGGATGCCAAGGTGGGAGGATCGCTTGAGGTCAGGAGGCTGAGAATAAGAGCTAGACCCTGTCTCTACTAAAATAGAAAAATTAGCTGGGCATGACAGAAAAATATGGTGGGTGCCTATAGTCCCAGCTTCTCAGGAAGCTGAGGCAGGATTGCTTGAACCCAGGAGCTTCAAGTTGCTGTGAGCTAGGCTAATGCCATGGCACTCCAGCCTGGACAGCAGAGTGACACTCTGCCTCCAAAATAATAATAATAATAATTCCCCCAAAATTTATAAATAAATAAATAAACTGTGGTACATCCAGACAATAAAATGATATTATTCAACACTAAAAAGAAAAGACCTATCAAGCCATGGAAAGATATAGGAGAAACTTAAATGCATATTACTAAGGGAGAAAACGATCTGAAAAGTCTACATACTGTTTGAACCCAGCTATATCACATGCTGGAAAAGGCAAACCTGGAGGCAGTAAAAAGATCAGTGGTGGTCAAGTAGTGAGGAAGGGATGCAGAGCACAGAGGATTTTTTAGGGCAGTGAAACTATTCTGTATGGTACTATAACGGTGGGTACATGACATTGTACATTTGTCTAAACCCCTAACTGGACAATACTGAGAGTCTACCCTAATGTAAGCTATAGACTTTGGGTGAAATGATTGG